AATATGGTAGAGATTGTTCAGTAAATCAGTTCGAAAAATAGGTACATCTATTCACCACCTGCACAGTTCACATTGCTACACTGTCTACGCAACCTTGATCCAGGCATTAACAATATGTTACTTCATGTAACATCTTTTTAGTCGCTGAATGTATCGCTATTTCGGAACATATTTCTTAAACTGCAAGACACTTAGAGGAATGCTATTGAAATTTGAGCAGATTTACTGCAGCAATACGTATTGTTCTGTTATTAAATGACGATATCCTAATCTTAGTTTTTGGACTATCTCATATACTTAAATGAGAAAAATATTGACCTTGCATAAAATGACGACAATTTTGACAGAAAATATGATATTTGACGGCTCCTGCATACCAAAACATTTTTCCGCCTCAAAAAAGTCGGATCCTGTTCTTCTGTATCTGTTCGTGGAACAAACACCAGTCCAAACTATCCCAGGTATTCGATATTTAATCCTATTTTTACTTGCAATGTGATTTTAGAAGTACCAATATGCTTAGTCACACTATTCAGCAGGTCAATGAAAAGTGCTTGATATATCTAATATTAGAAGTATTATTAATTTGTGATATAAATTCCTATCATTTTTATATAACTGTTACAAAGTTGTACGACCAACAATCTTCCCACGTGGACATGAATGGCTTTTCTCTTGAACTGAAGGTTTTTGAATGAAACTTGGGGACATAACTTGCAGCAGAAAAAAGCAACAGTAAGTGAGAATGGACATAGGGTAATTACACTGCACCTTTGTATTTAATTCCTGAGATAGCCGAGGGCTCCATCTCGGTTGCTTGTAAAATTTTTAATGATAGTGGACCCAGTTCCCTCAAATATTCCATTTCACAGGTGTCCTGTAGACTTATAAGAATAGTACGTTACCGGGTAATAGTCAAGGAATTGGAGGAAATCAACGGTTCTCGTTACAGGAGTTATAATCGGACTGTGAATGAACCCTCGATAGCTATAAAATCAACGGAAAACTTACTGTACACTTCGTGAGACTAACCGTACCAACCATACGTGACGCAGAATTCCAAACCTGTCTGGTTCTGCATTCTGCATTCTCCAGCTGCTAGTCATTACTAGCAGTAATACTGTCGAAAACATGCGAGTTTCAACACCTTGTTAAACTAGTAAGGTCAGTCAAGTACAATATTCCTAGCAGTCTAGGATACTGAGAAGTAATATTTAATTTTCACGAAAGTTCTTCGCTAAACACTAAATGTTTGTAAATACTGTACTGTTATTATAGACTTTGTACAACCAAATCGAAGAATATCTACTCTTTCGGCCTGAGGGTTTCACAGTCTTCCGTCTCTTAGAAATGATCGAACTAATGAGGCCTGTTACAAATGCGTTTTAAAACTACGTATATTACTTAAACACAAAATATAACTTCTTCTTTGTAATGATATTTTTTAATGAGAAATATGAGCCGAACAAGTCTCAGATCAGCCTACACATCGAAATGGTCAGAACTTGATAGAAACCTCGTCATGCCATCTAGCAGTTACAGAGTTCCATCGAATCAACTTATTTTTCTCCAAATCAGGCGTAATATCTTGGTAACAGTTCCTGATCACTACGTTAATATCGAAACCAAACAGAGGCCACGAAAAGTTCAATCCCAACAGGACCGGCGAGTAAGATTTTAACCGTCCTGTCCGCTTAAGAACAACAGAAACAACGATTAGAGATAAAAAATGTGTACGCAGTACACAATTAGAACGAAATGGTATTCACTTTTATATATTTTTCCTTATAAGAAATGGTGTACGAAAAGTTAATGACAACGAATGACCAATAATACAAATAACAGACTAGGTCTGATATGTCGATGTTATCGTTCTTGAGACGCAAATTAAACATTTCATCAGGTTAATCCAGTCTTTTAACTGATCTGAAATAAAGAACTAGCGCACTGTCTCTCGAGAATGAGATGACACAAATTTATCTTCTGCGTCATTCAAGACGTGAGACGGTTCATTCCTGAGCACAGACGCCTCCGCCATTCACGAGAGCGAGTGTGGGAGTCAGCGTGCGCGGTCGGGAGTGGAGCTGCGAGCTCTCACCGCCACTCTTGAGATGCTGAGGGCGACGCGTGAATTGTTATACGACGTTCATGCCAAAGGTTCTTCTGCGAGAAATTTAATGAGACTCTTGCGATGAGATAGATCGCTTGGCAGAGTTCCGAAGTGATTTCTCAATACAATGATAGCCGATGAAAAAAAACATCAGGATGAATGGGTGGGGTGGATTGAATATTGCAGTTCTTGGTAGGTCTTGAACAACTTGAACTGTTATTCATACAAAATGACGACTTGCATTTCAAAGACTTGGATGATATTAAATGAAATATTGCAAACCTACAAAGAGGGACGGAAAACCTTCAAAACTAATTTAAACTGCAATAGTAAAAATTACAAAATGAAGACGATTTATTTCGTTTTATGGTATTATTATTTTATTCTGAATTTGAATTAAAATGTTTAATTTGCGACACAATCGAGAAATAAGACAATGCACTAGTTGTTTACATTTCCCTTCTTATATGCTATTACAATCTACACTATATTTTATCACTTATTGCGAACTTAAATATTATATTAATTGCACTGAATGACAACTAACTTAAACATAAAGAACGCCCAAATTAACTTTAATCTCCCCATTACTTTTCATTGTTATTTAGTGATACGATTCTGATTCTTCAAACACGAATGGGATTCGTAAAAGTTCTTCAAAAGTCGCATTTACTCCACTTTACTTTCAATTAACGAATAGACGACAGATTCAACACACAAATTTCTCAAAACTCAAATATTGAAGTACTTTATGTCATTACATATTTCAAAAATAATTGTGCTTTTCAAAAAACATGATTTTCTTTCATCAATTTGCTCATTGCAAACGATTTTTGGGAAGATGTTCTAAGTGTGAGATTAAATAATAAATTTATAAATTTCTCAAATGATTAAACTTCAGTTACAGTTTACGTTTTGTTATAAAACCCACATGTGATTTTCAGAGTCAATGCGGGAGGGTGGGCGGGACCAGGGAGAGGGTGGTGAGAAGCTAGGTGCGGTCAGGACGTGCTTGCGCCGCTGCGATTTAGCGGTGGTTGTATCAGGCAGTTTTACTTAAAAAAAATCGAGTCGTGCGGTGGTCCGATGAGAGTTGGCGAGAAGAGGGCCGTGGTACAGCGCGGCGCCGTGTGTGCTTCTGTGGCAGGACGATCAGAAGATGCCGGAACCAAGGTGCTGTGAACATCTTCTCGTACCAGTCGCACCGGGAGATCTGCCGCTCATGAGCCACCGTGTGCAAGAAGTGGCGCGTCATTCGCCTACGACACGCGCGCTCTGAAGAAGTTCTCGCCGGAGATCTCCGCCTGCACGTCGGCTCGCTCCGAGTCGAGCTGCTCCGTCCATCAGGTGAGGCGTTAGGCCGCAGGCGCTGTCGACCAAGGTGCTAAGGTACAATATGCGTAGGCAATGTGGTTTTGTATGAATATTGTTGCCGTCAGACAAAATGAGATAGAGAAACAAAGGGAGTGGGAAAAGAGGAGACAGGAGAGATGGAGAGAGGAGAGAGGAGATAGAGGAGAAAGTGATAGGGAGAGAAGAGTGAGTAGGAGGAGGGAGAGCGGAGAGAGAGGGAGAGGGAGAAGGAGAGAGAAGGAGAGAGGGAGAGAGAGGGAGGAGGGAGAGGTTTAAGGGGGGGGGAAAAAAAGAAGGGGGGGGAAGAGGAGGAGGGAGGGAGAGAGGAAGGAGAGAGGAAGGAGGAAGAAGGGAGAGATGGAAGAGGAGCGAAGGGGAAGGGAAGGGAGAGAGGAGAGGAGATAGGAGAGAGGGATGGAGGAGGAAGCCGAGGGAGAGAGGAGAGGGAGAGAGGAGAGGAGAGCAGGGAGAGGGAGAAGGAAGGGGAGATGAGAGACGGAAGAGGGAGAAAGAGCAGAGAGAGAGAGCGCGAGAACTGTATTGTGCATAAATGGCAGTACATGTTGACGATCTGTATAGTGGACGTGTATATGTGACGTGTATATGTGACGTGTATATGTGACGTGTATATTTGACGGTGAAATTAAATTTCGAATAGTTCTGGTCAAAGGAGCGGATTGTTTAATTTGTATTAGAGATATGAAATGATAAAGATAAATTACATTAAACAAATACGACAATTAAGAAAATAAAGTAGGTTTATAATGTTTTTGTTTAAAATTCCGAAAACAAATCAATTTAGTTAAAGGGTTAGAAACTTGTTCAAAGTAGTCATTTTAAAAGATCTGGCTTGAGAAATAAGCTCATCAAGATTTAAAATTTACATTTTATTGAACTGAATTTAAGAAAATGAATGAATTTTTTGTCTCTTTTTGATACTAACGGATCACCAATGAGTAGAATTCGTGGATCATTCTTGCTTCATTCTTTGTTCCTTCCTTTTTATATTCTTGACAAGAAATTTCCAGGAAAGTATTTTTTATTAATTTTATCTTCTCAGATCCACAAATGTTTTGTTGCGCCAGGATTGCTTGCAGAGGGAATTTCAAAGAGCATAACACCATCTCCTATTATGTCATTCACAGTTATTCCCAATCAGATACGTATGTATTAAGGAACCACAACTCTGAATTTTGAGTTTGTGATACCATATGTCTGTG